AACATTTCATTGACTAATTTGAATTGCTGAAATTTAAGATAGTAGAAAAAGGACAAAAATTGTCCCCCCCCCCCCTACCCACACACACACACACACAAAAATAACAGATGAGTATCTTAAAACAGCAGTTTTAATTTTAGTTCCATCTTAAGGCAGAAGTTCACATAATGTAACATAGATTAAGTTAATTATGAGCAATTAAAGGCAGTATGGGCTTTGATCTCTTATCAATACAGACATTAGAGTAAAAGAATTATATCTTACACCTGTATTGTCAATAATGTAGTATTTACTTTTCAGGGTATTGACTCAAACTCTGCTTCATTCCTACTCTCTATCATTGGTATCACAAACACTATTGGTAGGGTGGTTTGTGGCTATGTGGCAGACTTTCCCTGGGTGGATGCCCTATTACTGAACAATATATGCCTGGTGGTGAGCACCCTGGCTGTGGCAGCCACTCCTTTTTGCAGCTCCTATGCCGGATACATTGTCATGTCCATCTTTTTTGGCATTGCTATTTGTGAGTACTTTTTAAAAATATAATGAAACATGATACTATAATTTATGTACAAGGACCATGCTTTGATAAGAACATTTGTGAACATTAACTGGAACATATTCTGATCACAATGGCTGTGTGAATTAAGGTGCATATGGTCTGTAAACCCCCAAAGACTGGGATCACAGATCTGAATCCTGCCTAGATAATGAATGTATGTCTAGATCATTCTTGTTGGTATAAACTTTGCATGGGACCAATTCAATGGTCATGGAGTCCTACCAAATGCCTGAATGATTATAGTTTCAAATTAATTCAGAACTAGATCAGAGGGCCTAAAGCAGAATTGAAACATATCTAAATGAATGTATATTTTGGTTACAGAAAATAGACATAAGTTAATTCTTTTAAACACAGCCAAGAAAAGTCTGAATAATTGACATTTTGCTGTACATTATCTGTGAAAATTTCCCTACATTTACTTATGTAAATTTCTTTCTGTTATTATTAAGGATCTACACTAATTCTTGTAAATTTAGCAAATAAGGGAAACAGTTTTTGTTGTTGTGATTTACATTTAAGAATTCTGTTGAATACTCAGTTAATTCAAACCATTGGTAATATAAGATATATTGTAAAATTAGATGTTCTCCATGCTAGAGCTATCTGAACATGTGAGACAAAATGAAGAATTTGTTTGTGATATGTTTATTTAATTAATTGCTAGAATTACTGAAATCAAATCAGTCCTGCAACATGGATCTTTCTACATATATCATCATTTATCAATACCTATTTCACACCTTTTACACAAAAATTCTTCTACAGTACCAACCCCTCCTCATCCTTCATATAAATAAGTTACCTTATATTAAACACTCTGTATGTTCAGAATGCTGGACTGTTCCCTTTCATTTTAAGTACCACTATGAAACAAGTTATTCTGAAATATATTGTAACGTGTTTCGTTACAGAATACGCCGTAGAGATGGTTAATTGGTTTATTTAACAATCTACAAATAACGGCTACAATTACTTATCACACAGTTGCGGGGTTTCACACTTTATAACCCTAATCGCATTAATCTGTTAACACTGTTGCGGGGTTTCACGACTTATAACCCTATGCGCAAATCAGTTCACTCTGCCTTCAGTAGTCTACACGTTTACCGTAGGGGAGCTAGGTATCACTGTATCACNGGCTTTGCGCAACATGTCACACTATGTTCAGGGAAAACTAAATAGTTCATTCCAAAAAGTAAATATCTTCATGTATTTATAGTGTGAGTACTCTCACCTGAGACGTGGATATCTGGAGATGGTCTGTCTGCAGTAAACTTTTTTTTTCATCTCACTTGAGGAAAATAACTGATGTTATAAGGTTAAAAAGGTAAAGTTTTCCCTGTGCTAAACTAATTAAGCACTATGCCATGAAGAAATATGGGGGAGTGGATGTATAGATCCACATTTGCTTGACCTTGGCACTAGCTGGAGGTGAGTGGTCAGCTTCACGCCCTGGCCGCGTTACCACCGGGGAAAGAGTTCCTGGTAACCAGTGGATAGGAGGTTGGGTGGACCCCAGAGCCGGCCTGGACGACGTGGAAAAGAGAAAATTCTTGACCCTACTGGGACTTGAACTCCAACCCCTCAGTCATCCAGCCCATAGCCAGTCACTATACCAACTACGCTGTCCCGGCTCCTAACTGATGTTATATTGATTATAGAATGGTGAACTGTGAGAAATAAAGTTCCCAAGATATTTATCCATCTGACCATCATGTGGTAATGATGCTTGAACTAATGAGACATGTTTTTCAGATTCATTTTTTCTTGTATATCTCACTTTATTTAATAGAACTCTAATAACTTCTCTAATTTTGGCTAATGAAACATACCATTGATAAATTATTTCACAGAAACACATTAGCTGTCAACATGAGTTTATTATATGGAAATAGTTTTACTTCCCTTATATGAAAGTTAGTTTATAAATGGACACACACACACACACAATTTCTGAACTTTATGTTCAGTTCTCTTTCCTCAAGAACTGAAATTAACATGCGACCTAATATTAATGTGATATTGATACAGAGGCCTATGCAACAGGCCTTTATCTTCTACCAGTAATGAAAGTTAGATTTCTACTGTGTATGTGTAAACATCAATGATCAGTGTATTGCATGATCTTACTGTTTTTTTTTTCTTCCCCATCATTTAAAAATGAAGAAATTGCATATGATAAGATGCAATAACAAATATTTTACATATTTTCCAGCTGGGTATATTTCGCTCACATCCATCATTCTTGTGGACCTGCTCGGACTTGACAAGCTGACCAATGCTTTTGGACTCTTGATTCTGTTCCGTGGTGGGGCTGCCATCATTGGCTCTCCCCTGGCCGGAGCCGTGTATGATGCAACGGAGAGCTATGACATACCATTCTATATGGCAGCAGCATTCTTTGGGATATCTGCTGTTACAAGCTTCATGGCACCAGCAATGAAGCGCTGTGTGACTCCTGCTGAAGTTCCACCCGTTACTGATGCCTTGACACCCATTGATGAGGACGTTGAAGAGGAGAATGAGGAGGAACAAAATGTCATTCCAGAAATTGTTGAGACTGCTGCATCTCCCATAAATCCTCCAGCAACACAGCCCCAAGAGATTAAACAGATTGAGTCAGTGCTCTGAACAATTTAAGATTCAGATTTTTATTAAAGTGGTGAGTTTCAGGCAAACCTTGGCTTTCATTGTTTCGAATTTGAAAGAAAATACTCTGCTTTGAAACACATGAAGGCCTATTCATTTACCAAAAGCAAGCACATTGACCATTTACATTTTTGTATTTATAAAATAGCTGGAATGAAGGAAACATGAAACTTATTTTTTCTTCAAATGTTTATTTTATTTCAGCATAAAAGTATAATTTATGGTATTAAAATGTACTGGGTATCTTCTTTTTCAAATTCAGACTGGAAATGCTATATCAGATATTATGGACTTTCTCAGTTCTGTATATGGAACTGTAAGTACAACTCTTGTGCAACTTTTACAACAGTTGCATAAACAGATGCTGCAGGTTGTGCATCTGGTTTAATGTTAAAAGGAGGAGAAGAACATAGAGCAATATAAAATACAAACTGCCCATGGGGCCAAATAGTACCATTTTGTTTTGGAATGAGGTGCTGTGTTCCAGGAGAAGTTTCAAAGATCACATGTGTAGACCTATAATATGATGTTGTAGGTAATTCAATTTCATTGATGATTCCAGTTCTAAATCTGTCATATTCTAAGTGGCCAAGGTTTTCCAGTGACCACACCCATGTGAAATCAAGTCCTATGTCTAGAAGCCTATGAGATGACTTATGAACTATTTGTGATAGGACTGTAAGACACTGCATAGCTGGCTGACATAATGACCATGTTTAGAATATGTGTCAGCATTTCAAATGGGCGGGAGGAAAACGAATCTTTAAAGAGCCCATGATTATGAAGTGCATCGTGTACACAGTTCAGATAAAAAAACAAAATATGAGATAATACAGGAGGTTCATGTATATCAAATTATTTCAAAGGAACAACTAAATTATAACAACACATTTAAGACAATGAAAGTAAGATTATGAGCACTACAACTTAAATAGCTAATTAAAGCTGTTTGTTAACTTATGAGTGAAATGAAGATATTTAATAAGGATTACAAATATCCTTTGTAGCAGGAATATTGAGACTAGTTACTGAATATAGCAGAATGTTTTATATTGATCTCTTGCCAAAGTAATGAGGGATGTCATTTTCAGGAAACAAGATCACTTGCAGACTGGAATCTGATTATTCATCAGTTATGTGTCTTAACCTCCATTTTCTATGTGGAATATGAATGATTGTAATAAATGCTGTTTGCGAATTTGGATTAATGGAGATCGATGAGTGACATGTAAGGAACAGAGGTAATAGAAGAATCGACAACATTTCCGTGATTTTGCCATTTGGAATATTGTGGACTTGGACTGCAGATTTACAGGATATTGAATCTTGAAAATCGAAAAGGAATGTTTTTAAGGATACTGTGATAAGCATCTTGTGCTTCGTTCTCTTATGTGTAGTAGGAAGCTTTCTAGTCTTGCTGCAGTGATCTGGCCTAACATAACATGACATCTTTCATTAAGCAACTTGCTGTACTTATGCAGATAAATTCACACAAAATGGTGGATTGACAAAAAGGAGTAGGTAGGTAAGTCCATGAACAATTTATACAACTAGTTGAATTGTAAGTTGCTTGAGCTCAAAATGAGAAATTATCAGAGTAATGTTTTGCTTTGACTGTGCCATTTGACAGCAAATGGAAATAATTTTTTTCCATTGCTAATGGAATGATATGTTGTATTTCAAGCCAGATAATTTTTCTACACTGGCCTCGTAAGATGTATTCATCAACACAACACCAGGAATCTCACCATCACAGGTGATGATGATAAATGGATCCAAAGACAAAGAAGAATTTGCCCGTAACAGTGTGTGCTTAATTTAGATAACTTTCTTCTGGATGAAAGTATTAAACAATATGAGGTGTTAAATACACACTGTATTACAAGAACAAGAATATAACTTTTCCTCATTGACTGTGATAAAAGAAAATGAAATGAAACTTCATCATTAGCATATGATGAATATCTGTTCTCCTGTTTTTCAAATCTGACTTGTTTGTGTGTGTGTGTCATGGGGGGGGGGGTAAATATTGTAGTCTTTATTTTGTTACTGTACAGATTTTGAAGAGGAAATGCACTTAAAGGAGAAGGTGAAAGAAATCAATTAAAGCAGGTATGTTGAATGGCAGCCTGTAATGTCAAGGTTACTCTTACAGATATGCGAGTTTAAATATTGTGAAGTGTATGAGTGATTGTGTAGTGGAGAGGAAACTTTATGTGTTTTTTTAAAGAAATATTTTTCATGAGTAGTGAATGAGTGAATTTTTTAAGTGGTGCTGTGAGCATTCTGTAATATGTTAATGCTTCTTCAGTCTACAATATTGGTCAGAATGCTATGACTGGAGCCATTTCTGAATCACACTTCTTCTTTATTCCACAAACCTAAGGTATGTTACAAATTTGCATTGTTTGTTGTTAATCTGTATTTTGTATCTAATTTATTTGTAAATACTGTTCAGCACTACTTCAACTTTTCAAAAAATGAATTTAAATTTTCCTGTTTGTTTTCAATTTGTGTTTTATTATAATCATCAGAGTAAAAATATTTCTAATATTTTATATGTATTTTTATTTTCTGTCAGTTTTATATTGATGTCGTGATAGACATGACTTATTTATGACAAATACATCTTAATTTGGAATAAACAGTAGCAGAAGTGGCAATGAGGAGATGAGGTGGTGGCAGTTGTATGAATACAACATAAATTGTTAATATATGACAAAAATTGATCATAATATGCAGTTTTAAAAATACACTATTGTAACAGCACTTTCATGCAGCTCAAAATGGAGTTGATATGAACATTTAGCAACACCACTTATTAGTCCCTCTATATATATATCCAATCTTGTTACTCATTAACTTATTTGCCATTTTACCGTTCAGATGACAGTGTTTTTTATATTTTCAATTTTGAGCACTGTTTGAGACACTTAACATCAAATTAAGAAACTTAATTTCTATTACAGTGCCACTACTAGCCCAGTTAGTATTTACTGAGCAGGATAGATTGAAATTAGAAGAGACTTAACAGTATTGTATTATGTGCACAAGCATGCCTGTATTAAAATAATTTCTGCCATTTTCATTGTTTCAGAGTGCTGTTAATGGCCAAAAGTATTTAATGCAATGTTTGTCTTCAGTTTTGTGTAAATTACAGCCATACCATGTATAATCCTAGAAATATTTATAGCATTATTCATGGTATTGTTTCTCTGACTCATGTCATTTAAAGCATGTTATACACTTGAATCTGATTATAATGCAGAACTGTGTGTGATATACTGACATTATTAACAAAAGGATTGTTGAATGAAAAATACCATCTTGAAGTGTATTTTAATGAGATTCGACTGTGTTTTTAAATTAGACACTGTAACAATAAAACACTGGTGTGAATTCACTTGCAGAGGGTCATTTGAGTGAATCCAAAGTGTGAATTAGATGATATTCAGTTAGTATTTCAATCATCAGAATTCTGGTTTCTGGCAACACCTTCAGTTCATGCTGATACAAATTCTTAAAATAAGAGTATTGTACTTCTGTGTGAGTGTGCTTCTTGCAGTAGCCAAGTTAAGCATATTTCTTTTTCAGTGTGAAGCAAGTATTAGTATAGGGATGGGAGAAAACAATAGAGGTTATGTAACCTCTGATAAGTTTAATTAAATAACGAATTTAAGTCAACAAAACAAATGGGGTTAGTAGATATAAATGACATTTAATATAACTGCATTTGCTGGATGTCTTGAAAAAATATTTCAGTCTTTATTTAAAATTTTCCTGCTTGGTTAACTTTTCATAATTCCATCCTCAGGTAGAAAGATAGAGGGAATTAAAAATCAATGATATATCAGTTTCAATGGAAATGAATATAAGAATTCTACTTCAGACATAGGTTTAGAATTCTTCTCAACAGAAATTTTGGAACAGTAATGAATGATGAAACTTGATAGTTCATTGCTGATCAAATGGGTTTTGACAAAACATAACAGAATATATTTTAATAATATCATGTGGTTGGTAATACTGTGGACAAACAATTGGTAGTATATAACAATGTAACACGTTAACATAAGTTGACATGTTTAGCATACAATCCATATTGTGTTATGATCTTGCTCTTTATAAGGTTTATGATAAATGATGAATTTATTGTTCTGTGGTGTAATGACATGGTCCGTAAAGCTTTCTAGCAGAAATCAGATTAATTACATGACACAGACAAATTGTACTTGTGCACTTAAAGAAGTTCATGATCATGTGGATTGCACGTTTTATACATATATATATCAACCATGATAAGTAGCTCTAACATCATTTGCCTACAAACTATAAAGTTTACATACTATAACTAAGCTGTGCAATTCATGATCTCATGTAAAGAAAATAAAGATATTTGCTACTCAGTAATTCAGAAATATTACAATATCCTCATTATTTATTTTGATAATTGAATGTCTGAGAAACCCATCCCTACTTACAGATAGGATATTTAAACTGAACTGTACTTAGCAGCAATATGCACTAGCTTATCTCCATTTTTGACAAATTCTGTACCATGTATTGTTGTAATAATGTAGGAAAATGTGTAAACAGAGCAGCTCACAATGTTTTGTCTTGTTCTATAAAACATACAGTGTTTATAGTAATGACAAGTCCTGTACCATTTTCATGACTGCTCGCCTAGAATAACACACGTACATAAGTAATATTCAAATTGTTGGATAAATATTTAACAAGTCAATGTTTTAGGTGCCGATTTAAGACTATGACATAGTTGAATAAGAAACTGCCACGTTTTTGTGGAAAGTTATATGTTTAAGGAAAATAATTTGTTGTATTTTAAGGACTGCATAGAATGGCTGGTATCTTATATGTACGGTTACAATAATCCGTATAAGACAAATTCATATGTAAATATAACATTATACATTCATAAATGACATGAAAACAAGATCAGGTGTTAACTTTCTTCAGAATGAGAAGGTAATTTTTTATATTCCTTTTCATCCCAATATTAGGCTCAGCTTTCCCTCCAATTTGCAAACAGTAATATAGTTCATTTTAAAGTTAGCAAGTATGATGTTAAAATTGTCAGAAATTATTTACTGATATCAGTGAGATCAATATGATTACAAAATAAATGAGAGCTTTCTAATTTATAAATTTTGCTTTCAGGGTTTGACAATTAAATAATGTGACTGATTCTGTTAAACGTACAGTAATATACCTGTATTAAACTCCCGTTTTTTCTAAAAACATGTTTACTGATACATTCATTCTCAGTTTTAGTCTCAATTTTGAAAAATATAATGTGCCGGCAGATGTGCGACTTTTGACTTTTGAAAAGTATGATGGTACACTGAATTATGTTCCTGTATGTGTACCAGTTGATATTAACACTGCCTGTATCATATTTTATCACTGACTTTTAGTAAATGTGGTCACTTTTGTAGTAGGTGACTTCTCACTTTGTGTACATATTCCAAATCCCATCTATGACTGAAAACACTGTTGGAAATAATTTTCTGAAAATCATGTCAACACTGTCATCATGTTATTCCAAATGTCTTTGAATAACGCCAATTGAAAACTGTGCATGGGACTTTTAGTTCTGGGAACGTCAAACAGTGACACACAGCCACACGAAATAAGGATGATGGATGTTCCACCACCTAATTTGTTTTGGGGACCAAAATCTCTTTACCAAAAGTGCTGTGTGAGAAGGTGCATTGTTGTGATATGAAATCCATTTCTCTTGTCGAAGCATTTCATGAAAGCACTGATGTAAATTTTTCAAAATATGTAGGCAGAATTCTTAGTTGAAATGTTCTGAGAGAAAAATAATTGTAATGGCTGATTTCTATTATATCAAAAGATCATTTTATTGTTCTTTCTGCTTCCTCAAGTTGACATTTTCCAGAAATTCAGCTTCTCCATTAGAGTTTGGTGCTATGTCCCTTGTCACAATTACTGAGCAAGATGGCTCATTTGTGACTTTTATTTGGAAGATGACCTGTCCTAATATGTTGGAGGCACCAACTATTGAATGAATTATTTTTCCATGTTTCTTTTCAGTTTTCTCCAGCCACGTGCTGTAACGGTACCTCAAATTAGGCTACAACTGCTTCTTTGTACATCCTGCTGGACTCGTGTTATTACACCATTTGGCTCCATGTAGCCTGGGGTATGTGGTCATGAAATAAACCACAGATAAATAAAGAAATAAGTTAAAAAGATGTATTAAACTTTTAGTATCCTATTTTAAGATAACTTCTTAACTCATCTGGCTGTAATGAGGAAAGGCATTTCTGTTTTCTCTGAAACTGGTAGTGGAAGAAACATTTCAATTATGGGAGGAGGACGAGAAGGATCTGAACTACTTACTGAAGTTTTATTTCAGAATATTACATTACTTATTAAGTCAATGGCATGTGGCATGCTGACCCATTGCTAGGCAATGACTGCGAAAGAAATAACTAGACAACCCCGTTACTAGGCAACGACCCATAAACAGCAACAGAGAAACGGTATTTTCTGTGCGGTCCATGCCGAGTTATAAACAGGACAGTTAGTGAGCAGTGAGTCTAGTTAGAGAATTGGTAGGTTAGTGAGTTAGAGAACTGCGGTTCAGCTGTGAGCTGATGCTGTGAGAAGCTCGTAGCTGAGGCCAGGGACAGTTAGGGAACCCAGAGGAAGGGGAACTTCCTCTGTTGAAAGCTGCTACCGATCAACGGCTATTGAAGACGTGACTGTGGATACTAATGTGTATAAATTGCAGTGCAAAATGTACTCATACGCTGTATGTAAGGGTTCAATAAATCAGGTCATCAATCCAAATATTTCTTTAGTCACTCCATTGCGTGACATTATTTTACTTCCACAGAGGGTGAATAGTTTAATTACATGTCTCAGATCTATTACTCCAAACCCTTGCTAGTCTGGATTAATTATGCAAAAGTCATTTGGATTAATGAAGAAAAAGTTAGTCCTTATTTACTTACTTATGGAGCTGAGCCCTTCTTGAGGAGAAGCCAAATCTGCAGTTACTCAAGAATTTCCCAGCATTTTATGGAACCCGAAGGTTCATTGCCGTGTTCACAAGAGCCCTCCACTGGTCCATATCCTGAGCCAGATCAATCAAATCCATACCATCCCATCCTATCACTCTAAGATTCATTTTAATATTGCCCACCCACCTACGCCTTGGTCTTCCCAGAGGGCTCTTTCTTTCTGGCTTTCCCACCAACATCCTATATGCATTCATAAAATAAAATAAAAAAAGCCTAAACACAAGTAAATGGAGAATTTAATGGTGTAAGTAGTGCTGATGAAAGTAAATAGAAAATATAACCGTGGAATCTTTATTTAAAAACTATAAAAACAATAAATTTATTCATCGATAGACGTTCCAGAAGTTGTCCTTATTTTTTAACGTAATGAAGTCTGAAGAAACTGTCCAGTTTTGTGTGAACAGACAAGTTACTCGTCTGCCTTCCTAAATACCATGTGTCTCTTAAAGTATCTACTCAACTCTGAGCCTCATTTTTCATATGTCGATCCGGATTAACCGTAACCGGAATAGCGAGGGTGTACTGTAATTCTATATTCGACAATTATGTAGAGTTACTAATACGTGATATCGACTTTGCTGCCCTCTATTGCACACGATATGAGAAAGAAAAAATCCAGTTATATTGACAGTGTCGTGAAAGGAGGACGTGAGGTTCTACATAGCAGCCGGTAAGTTGATACGGACACGTCTGTTTTGTTGCCATTACGTAATAAGGTGTATTTTGAGAGCGATTTTTAAGTAACAGACATGTAAACCTACAAATTCACATTGAAATTTCAAATACATGAATAGATACGTGCAGCTTGCTGACAATATATATAATTAAGTTAATTTTCACTTCGCCTGAAACTAGAAAGGTTATGTCACGCTTATAAGGCTAATGCGGGGTGAGTAAAATAGTTTTATGTAGGTTAAAATTGTGTCTTACCACAGGCTTTGTACATGATTCTATTAAGTCAAAATGGTAAATATTTGGATCTAAAATAAAGTGACAGGAGGATGGATAAACTGCATAATAAAGAGCGTACATTATTAGACGTTCAAATCGCCGAGAATGATATAGGTAAGGCATGTAGCACTCACGTTATGGATAAGAAGCGTTTGAAGAATTTTGTTCGGAAAACCAGAAGAGAGGAGACCGTTTGGAAGTACGAGGTGTTGATGGTTTGATAATACTAAAATGGATCTTAAAGAAACAGGTTCTGATGGGTGTAGACAGGATTAATATGGTTTAGAATAGTGAACAGTAGCAGGCTTGTGCTACGGCAGTAATGAACCTGAGGTTTTCACAAAACACGGGTCATTTCTTCATTATCTGAGCAGATTTTGGTATCTGAACACAGAGATTGCTCTATTGAGTTACTGAGTTCTGTAGGATTAGGTAGATTAAAATTGTTTACCTCACCTGTAGTTACTTAAACGGTTGGGCCACGCCATAGCTCAAGCGGTTAGTCGCGGGCTTTCCACCGCAGCGGCCCGGGTTCGATCCCGGGGGTCTGGTAAAGTGGGATTTGTGGCGGACAAAGTGGCGCTGGGGCAGGTTTCTCCGAGTACTTCGGTTTCCCCTGCCAATCTTCATTCCACAAAATGAAGACGTATGGATGAGTGGAGGTATAGCTCCACCATTCTTGACCTCAGCTTTAGAGAGTGTTATAGGATACTGAAACTGTGAACCATGATGTCGAATGCCTGTACAATATTACTTCTACACGGTTCACTTTGCTCTGTACTGCGAATGTTGAAGAATTACGTTGTACTGTTCAAGTTTATGATACCAAGTAATCTCGTAGGTGGGTTACCAGCGTTTCACAGGGACACGCTGCCTCCATTTTCAGGGTATAGGAAGATAATATGTTTCTCCTCAGTATCCACTCACCAAATTAAGAGCGTCATGATATCAATACGGTTATAATTTCTTTCATTTCGACGACTCTTCATGTTTTCCCCTTTCTTGTTTCGTTATTTCCTCGTTGTATTTCTGCCCTTCGTATCACACTTGGTTGGATAACAAGCCTATAATTACAGTACTTCTGCAGTAACGTTTATTTGAGTTGACTTGTGACGTACCTTGGCAAAGACGTGTGTCTGCCTACACCTGTTCTTAACCAAACACACATAACGATATCTAGTTTCTATCGAACAGAATATTTCTATATGCTTTGCAAATACAGATTACACAGTGGTTAACTGCACCAGGTTAATTATTTCACCCAGAAGATGTGGGGGTTGCCTGTTATGAAGGCCTCATATATTCTTAAAAAGAATATATAGAAGGTACCTTATGTACTGATTTATTTGCTGTTTGTTTAACTACACTGAATCACCTACCATCAACGAAATTTAAGGAAGCAATGACTTCCAAACGCGGCGGCCCTGGTTCGAGCCCGGGCCAGGTTATGTGGGATTTGTGGTGGACAAATTGGCGCTGGGGCAAGTTTTCTCCAAGTATTTCGGTTTCCCCTGCCAATCTTTATTCCAACAATTGCTCCACCTTCACCTATCATCTGGGGCTGGTAGCGGCCGCAGTACCACGTGGACTCGGCCTCACCCCACTATGAATAATAAAAGAATATAAAATAAAAGAGCACTAAGAGGAAAAAATACGAGGTTAAGAAATGTGAAGAAGATTAGCAACCGAAAATATGGCGAACATCACTAAACGATATCACAGGAAATGTATAGAACACTTGGATCGAATGCCTCTGAACGTCGAATGAGGAAGACACTTTCAGAATTCCACAGGAAAAAGTGACAGAGGCGGCGTCCAGGGGAAAAGATGGAAAGGATATTTTTATGTTTCGGAACAGAATTATTCTGCCCGGTACTTATTACAGAAATAGGACAACTTATTCATATACTCAATTTATTGTTTATTTGAC